TCATCGTCATCATCGTCATCGTCATCATCATCGTCGTCATCGTCGTCATCGCCGCGGCGCTGTCTGAGTCTGCGAGGCTCGCCGACGAGGCCGTCGAGGCGAGCAGCGACGACTGCTGACTCGCTCAAATGGCTCGAGAGGGCATGGGAACCCACGACATCTTGCGCCGATACATAGCAAGCAACGACCGCTGCGAGAACGATGGGCACGTGCATGATGTCAATGCAACGCAAGTCAAATTGGCTGACTGTCGGGCCATCGGCTTGTTGTCCGATCGTGAACTCAACAAAATTCATCGACGGTTTTATCGTTTTTTATATTCTGTTGCAGTATTTTGTTTAATTTTGAAAAATGGCAAAACTGGAAGGAGGGTGAATTGTGCGTTCATCATTTAAAATTCGCACTTTGATGTTTTAAAATACATGTGAAACGGTTCTACAAACTTTTTTCCCGTGACGCTCGTGGGCGAACGGCGCTTGGGACTCGAATGATGGAGCTGCGCCGTGCTCAAAGGAAGGCTGCGATCCACATCATGCATCTGTGGAATGCTAGAGTACACACTCGATATATCTCTCACGGCCACGCTCTCTACTCGTCGGTCACACAGCCCAGCGAAGCGGACGAGACCAGCTTGGCGTACTTGAACAGTGCTCCTTTCGTGTACTTGAGCGGAGGTTCCTTCCACTGCGATGCGCGAGACTTGAGTTCGTCACACGACAAGTCAACGTCGATGCGGTTCGTCACTGCATTGATCGTGATCGCATCTCCGTTCTTGATGTGGGCAATCGGGCCACCGACTTGAGCTTCGGGGGTGATGTGGCCAATGAGAAATCCTACCGAACGGATTCATTCACGGCAACAAAACGGAGACAATGGGGCGTGGCATACCGCGCGAGCCGCCCGAGAAGCGGCCATCCGTGAGCATGGCCACGTCGTTAGCAAGGCCGGCGCCAGAAATCGCCGACGTGCATGTCACTACGCCATGCATTGTCCAAGATAACCTTGCCGACGATGTCGATAGCACGTACACATTTCCGGCATCCCCGGACCACCCTTTGGGCCTTCGTAGCGGATCACAATCACGCTACCCTTTGTAATCTCGCCGTCTTCCAGCGCCTTCAGCATGTCTTCCTCGCAGTCGTACACCTACATCGGTTCAATTCTTTAGCCACAGCAACGTTGGTGCTGCCTCATCGTACCAGTGCTTTGCCCGTGAAATGTTCGCCTTCCTTGCCAGTAATCTTGGCGACTGCGCCTTCAGGCGCCAAGTTGCCGCGCAACACGCGAATATGCCCCGTTGGCTTGAGCGGTGACTCGACCGGGTGAATGATTCGCCCTTCGTCCGTCAAGCCAGGCAAGCCCGCGACGTTTTCCGCGAGCGACTTGCCCGTCACAGTGAGGCAGTCGCCGTTTAGCAGACCTTTCTCCAGCAAGTACTTGATCACGGCAGGCACGCCACCCGCGCTACGACAAGACACGTAAACCAACAGATCGTGCAGTGGCTGCCCATACTGGTGCAAGTCCTCCATCACGTATTTGCCGCTCGGTCGCAAGTTGGCCAAGTATGGCGTCTTGGCGGCGACGTCGTTGAAGTCGTCCAGGGTCAGGTCGACGCCTGCGGCCCGCGCAATCGCGATGAAATGCAGCACCGCGTTGGTCGAGCCCCCCAGAGCCATCGTCACGGCCTACAGCGATGAAGTTAGCAACGCCTGCAAGGTCAACCAGACACGCACAATCGCATTTTGGAACGACTCGCGGGTCAAGATGTCCTTGGGCTTGATGTCGTTCTCCATGAGGTACCGGATCGCGCGACCTGCCGCGCGACACTCTTGAATCTTGTCTTGGGACTCTGCTGGCGAGCTCGACGAGTACGGCAGACTCAGTCCAAGCACTTCGATTGCCGTGGCCATCGTGTTGGCAGTGTACATGCCGCCGCACGCGCCAGGACCAGGACAAGACTTGCGCAAGACGTCTTTGCGGTCTTCGTCCGTGAACCTGGTGGAGAACAACGTGGTTACACCGCCGTTGTTCGCAACGGAATTCCACCATTCGATCGATGAAAGAAATGAATTTTCACGTACCGCTTCGACAGGTACTCGCCGTACGATTCAAAAGCCGACACGACATCGAGACGCTGGCCATTGCGGCACCCCGCACGAATGGTGCCTCCGTACACGATCAAGGATGGACGGTTGTGCCGCGCCATCGCAATCAAACATCCCGGCATGTTCTTGTCACAGCCAGGAACAAGGATGTTCGCGTCATACCACTGCGCACCCATGACAGTCTCAATGGAATCCGCGATGAGGTCGCGGGAGGGCAAGCTGTACGACATGCCGTCCGTACCCCTGGAAGCGAAGTGTCAAAGTCGAGAGAAGAATGCAGCAACTCGTACTGCGCAATGCCGTCGCTGACACCAATTGTGTTGAAGCGGTAACCCACGAGACCGGCGTCCTGGACCCCCGTCTTGATTTCCTGTGCCAAATCGAGCAAGTGCATGTTGCACGGGTTGCCTTCCCACCACACGCTAGCAATCCCAACTTGCGGCTTCGTAATGTCATCTTCCTTGAGTCCCGTGGCGTATAGCATGGCCTGGGCGGCGCCGTGGGACTTGTTTTCCGTCAAGACGGAGCTGAACTTGTTGAGCTTCTTGGACGTGTCACTGCCCATGGCACGACGTTGGACGGCAGACGTCATCGAGGCGCGGGAGACAGCAAGCGATCGGCGGAGCAACATGGTATAGAAGTGAGGTGGACGGCCACAGACGGAGTGTGCAAATGGAATGTTCTTGTGGACCTATCGCGCGTGCCGTGCCGCAGGAAGATGTCGAAATGGCACATGGTGTTTGCGCATCGCCGCAAAACACACTGGAATTCAATACGGATAATTGATGGATCTTCCGGATATTTGTCCGCTGAGTTTCCTCCAGTGAGTATTTCCCCTTGAACTCGTTTGTGCATTCGCTCAGGTTGACTCATTCCCATGAAAAACTAGCCGCCTCCGTCTCGCTGGCGCATCATGGCCAAAGCAACTACTACGTAGCGGTGGTACGTGCGGCGAGCAAGTTTGGTTCAAAGAGGTGCTCACTCCAACGCTTAATGGCTGGCGACATTGCAGCCTGTAAAGTACTTATCCAAGGGAAAAAAGTTTGGTTGAAGGGAGAACTTCCACGGAGTATATCACAGAGGACCACGAAATAATGGAGACGTCCTGTGCAGCCGCCGAGGACTCTCGGCGACTCCAAGCGTACTCGGGCACGTCAAGAGGCGCTGCCGTAGGCAAGTGCTGCTGCAAATATGAGCACTTTGGTACTAGTGGACTCTTCCAAGCCTCCAGGAGAAACAAGGTCAAGTCGCTGGTTTGCACGAAAAATCGTCGCTGTTACTCCCATGTACTCGACGGACCATCCTCCACGGTCTCGACAGCGGTATATTTGTTTGCGCGATGGCGGGTAACCCACACAGTTGCCAGGACAACCACCGCGACGAGAGCTCCGCCCACGGCGAACCCTACGAAGGCTTGGTGCTGTTGTTTGAGTACCAACTCCCATGGGTGGTCCGTGGACGCGGGTCGCAGGATAGGCACAGGAGAGTGGAGGGTGTCGACGACTCCACCGGGCTGCATGTCTCGCACGTTCGTGGTTTCTTGCGCTGCCAGTGCGTCGAGTCGGCTGACAACGTCGCCCAGTTTGGCTACCACCTCCCTCAGCGTGATGTCACTCATTTCAGTCGCATCTTCCATTTGTTTCTGGGCCTCGTGGATCTCTTTCTTGACTTGCGCGAGCATACTTTCCGACGCAAGCACTTGGTTGAGCTTGTCTACGAGCAACTGGATCGCGGTAGAGTTCACCGCCACGACACCGTCCTCGTCACCACGAATGCTGCCGCCACTGTTGTGCCGTCCCGGAGCCCGCGACGACGTGTCATACTGCTTCCATCCAGGCAAGAGGGCCTCAATTTGCTCAGGCACGGAATACGGCACCCAGTGGAGCTGGTCGCATGGCCAGTCGTCCAGCGTCTTCGGGTCCGTGTTGGATATCTTTGAAAAGTTCAAGTACATCTCGAGCGTCCGGACCGGACTCCCGTAGTACGTCTCCATGTCTTCAAAGTCAACTTCGCCCGAGAACGGAAATTTGAGCGCGGCGCGGAGCCGGTTGTACCCGAGCAAGGTCTCGTGGTACTCCTTGGTCTTGTCCTTGGCGTTTTCGTAAAAACTACAAACGAAACGCGGGTGAGTGCATTCCCATCGAAAAAGCACGGCCTTCGCCCGCAGCATCCTGACCTCTTCTTCGCGCCGTCGTCCGTGTAGTTGTGAAAGAGAACCGACCGCGGCCGGCTCGGCGAGTACAAGTCGTACCCACGCGTCCACAACTGCATCGCACGGATGTATTCTTCGCCCATAAAGACCCACGTGAGATGGCCGTCGATGGGGGCGCGCTTTTCCGCGTGACACTTGCTGAACGACATGCCGCCGCCCCAGAACGCTTGCATTTGCGGCCGCTCCGAGTTTGTGATGAACGTCGGCCACAGGATCGGGATATCGTTCGGGAGCGGTCGATTGCCGTACATGCAAAGGTGGCGGCTCATCGGCACGGTCGGCACCGTAAAGTTGGGACCGATGTGTGCATAACTGAGCGGGTAGTTGGACAGAACAGCCATTTCGTTCTCAGTGAGCTTCCAGTCCTCAACGATGAGAGTGTCCCAGTTGTAAACGTACTGCGTGTGGGCATCGATGGACATGCAGAATTCCTGGTCGTCGATCATGGCGCGCTGCCGGGATCGCGCGACGGCCGGGCCTTTGGACAATGACGCGTTCACAGCATCGATTTTGATGTGGGAGCTGTATTTGCACGTTTCGTTGGGCCACGTCACGTTGGCAAGTTTGCAGTACTCGTCAAGGCACTTGGAATCGCCGGGGAGAGTTTGATCGACGATGCCAAAGAAGACATGCTCGGGGTGATCCGCCCGGGCGAACGCAGTCCAGACGGCGTACCCACACCGGACGCTGTCGCGGTAGTTGGAAATAGCGACAAAGATGTCAAAGACCTTGGGCACCCGCGGCAAGGGCGGACGCAAATCGGCTTGGTCGAACGCGAGCGGAATGTTTTGCACGGACGGATCCAAGTACACGTTGTGCTCCACGGTCTCGTTGTGATTCGGGTTTGCAAACTTGAGGTAAGGTCGTTCAGTCGGAGTCTCTCCCATGGCCAGCGCGACCAGCGGCACCAGCAACAACAGACAAGCCTGCATGTCCGACGAAATATATCAGTGCGAGTGCCGTCTCCCGGCGATTCCGACGCGGCCACACAACAAGTCTTGCGTTCTGCCATCCATGTCGCCAGCGCATCTCGCCCGATCTTTGGAATCCGCCAACCAAAGGATATCATGAACAACTCACCACACCCTGTCAAAAACGATTACGCATTGCCCATTGAGTTAATCTGACCAATCTTCGAATTGCTCGTACAACGTGTTTGTGGTTGTTCAGAGTGCGCGAATACGAGCCTGGAGTAACTATTTTGATCGATATTGTTCCAGCGTCGCCGCGCTCAGTTGCGCCGCTACATACTTGATGTGAGCATGTTGCGTCGCGAGCAAGCGCGGCGGAGATCGCTCCACGGCACAGGCCAGACTTGCATGTGGGGTGCACAGTCAAAGGTGTTGCGGACTGCTCGACCGATTCCAGGTAAAACTCCCATCGGGGCAGGCGAGTCCGCACAATCGCGCGTGCAATTACGTGCATTTGCGTTCAGTGAACCGACCTGAACGGAAAACGGCGCTGGTCGGGGACGCCAGGTGATTACAGGGGAATTGACAACAGCGCAACTGCAACGGCACCTGAAAATTGGTCCGCCGCCGCCAGGAGTGGGCCGTCGGGATGTCCATGGTGACGAGTCTTCTCGTGACTGTACATGTGTGTGTGTGTGTTTGAGTTATGGTACTGCCTGCCTTGGCTATTTGGCGGTCGGCGAACTCAACCCTTACGAGCTTTCAATCGATCGCCCTCCAAGCCTTGGTTTCGTTTTCGGTGTGATCGAGAGGCGGGGTTGGGGTGTCGGCGCTTTCACAACCTTGGGTGACGTCTCCGGCGGCGTCTGGTCGCGTTGTGGTGGATCTCGCGTGCGCGGGGACTTGGGACTGCCGCTCGATTCTTTCTTGATGTTGCGCTGGGCACTGCCCAATTCACACGCATTCACTTGCTGGGCAAACCGCAGCGAGCACAAACTTTCATCCACGGACGCGTCGGTCGGGCTCAAGTTGACCATCATGAGCGTCTTGCCGTCCCCTGACAGCGCGGGCTGAAGCACGTATGTCAACTTGCTGTTGCGGTACGGAACGTGCGACTGCTTCTTGGCAATGGCGCCAAAGACATCCGCCAACGCACTCAGACTTTTGTTGATCGCCTGCGCTTCCTTGAGGCGTTCTCCCGTCGCGCCAGACCTGGAGATGCGTTCGCTTCCGGCTACATCATCGAGTTCCATGAGCCCCACAACAGAGCGTCCGACGTCAACGCAATTTACCCAAATCCACGAGACTCAAGCTGCCCAGCAAATCCACGTCCAAATCGTCGTCGTCCGTGCGGTGGCCATGCAGGTGCAAGGTGAAGATGCTGTGGCTGCGCGAACTCTCGGCATTCATGTCGGTCTTTTCCACAGACCGGTTGCATGCCGCCGTCTCCATGATCAACTCGACCTGTTCAACGCCTTCCGACAGCGAAATCGGATACCGGCGGAGGTTCTCGACGTAGTTTTTCCCGTTCTTGTCCGTGCGGATGTTGTACTTGACCGACGTGTCCGTCGACAGGAGGTCGCGAATGGTTTCGTTATAAATCTCCATGAACGTCACTTCGAGGGAATACGTCCATCCTTGTTCCGACAGCGTCGAGCAGCACCCCATGATCTAGCATCGATGGTCGTCAGCGCATTGTCCAGTGGAACAAGCACCGCCGCCGTACCAACGACATGGCTCGAGGGATGATGCCACGCATCTCGGGCCGCCGCCCTCCTTGCATCTACGTGCGATTCAGTCTCGCACCACATCCGGGACGACGCACTGTGAATGTCTTGCCCGACCCTGTTTGACCGTATGCAAAAATGCACACATGGTACCCGTCGATCGCGCTCTGGATAAAGTCCGATACCTCCTACACGTCGGCACCGTCATGCCCACCATCCCCTCGATACACACCACGTACGTTGAAAATGTGCTCCTGGCCGTTCGTTTGCCCAAACAACTTGTCAAATGTGAACCGGTGCTTCCCGTTCGTGATGGTCGAGTTGTCGTCGTCAACGCACCAACAACTCGCTTTCAGCTTGGACAGTTCGCCGTCCGACGGCAAGAATGGCCGCAACCGCACGTGCACCCGCACGTTCCCACGCAGCTCCTGGATCGTGTTGTGCATTTGCCGGCGCAGGATGTTGCCTAGACGCGTTGCAGATGTTCACATGAACACTCGACAGCTCTTCGCACCTTCATGGACTTGGCGCTCGAGTTCGGCCACATATTCGAGCTGGGCAGCCAGCTGTGTCCGCACTTCGAGAAAGTCGGCCGACAGTTTTTCCAATTCACCCTGCAACGTTCCCTCGCTTTCGTCATGCAGTAGTGGGACGACGACTCATACCTTGTCCTCGACCACTTCCGCTGGTGGTCGGGCATGCCGTGTCATGACGCGATTCTCGGTCTGGAGCATCTTCACCTGCATGTCGAGGGCACATGTTGAAATCCATTATCCCAAGCAACGAACGCGCCCCACCTCTTCGACGTACGCAAGGCGCTGGCGTTCGTACTGCGCCTTCATTTCCTCGAGCCGGGCATCGCACCCCGTTTGCATCGCCATCATTTGAGCGTACATGGCCGTGTTGTCTTGGGTCAGCTGGTGTTGAGCCACTTGAAAGTGCTCTCGGCGGGATTTCTCTTCTTCCCACGCCGCCTACCATCCCCCATGACGTCCTTCACCGCAATGCCATCGTGCATGGTACCTCGACGGTCGTGAGGCGGTCGGCCCACACGCGCTTTTCGTCGTCCATGCCCTTGCGCTGCTCTTCTAGATCATGCACCGACACTTGAAGCGCCATGATCGTGGCTTCCTTGGCTCCGATCACTTCCTGTGCTTTCGCGACCTCCGAATTCAAGTGAACGATCTCTTCAGTTAGCCGTCGGTTCTCCTTGATCATGTCGGTCGATTTCTAACAAAAGTGCGAAGCATGACCTCATCCACGGGTACCTGTCAACCTCCTTACCTGCCAAAACGATTTGGCCGACGTGTTCTCTTCATCTTGTATCCGAACACGTTCCTGGAAGTCATGGAGCTCTTCCTTGAGCGCATCGTGGTCGATCTTGATCTGAGCAAGTTCGAGTTCCAAGCTCGTCTTGTCGGCCTCGAGCGCTTTGGTCTGCGCCTGGAGCTGCGTGACCGTTGCCCATGCGTCCGCAGTCGATGAACTCATCGACTTCGTGTAGTGCTCTCGCAGCGACTGTAGCTGTGTCTCCTGCGCGTGGTCCTTTTCGGCCAGCAGCGCTTGGTACTTGGCGACCATCTGGGACGTGCTGCGTTCCATGGCATTTCGGACAAACTCTTGCATGTTGCTATCCAAAGTCTTCAGGACACTGTTGTCATCCTCCAAGACGGTGTTTGAGGTCGCAGACCCATTTGTCGAAGGCGCTGTTGACGACAGATCAGCACCGACGGCAGCTGGGTCGGCCGACGGAATCGACGTTGCCGGGGGACCACTCGGCTCACCTGTACATTTGCCCCAGCCTGTCACAACAACGTGCCACGTCGACCCAAGCATCTCGTACCTGTAGATGACGCCACGCCTGGCGCGGATGAATGCTGCAGCAACTCTTGCTTGGCAGTTGCGTACGCCCTGGCAGTCGCAGCATGTTCCTCGGTCAGATCCCGCTCCACACCTTGGCACGCCAGCGAGAACGCGTCGCGCTGCATCTTAAGCTCCCGCAAACGGTACTTGAGTTTGCGAATGTACTTATCCATTTGATCGATGCGGCCCTTGGAATCGATGGCACGCAGAGGCGGCTGCGACAACACTTCTTCGATCTCGGCTTCAGTCGTAAAGTGGACCTTGAAGAGGGTCGCGACAGACACTTGGGACATGCTCTTGCCCCGGATGAGCGTCGGTGGCGACACGATGCTGCGTGGAGGCGATGGCGCTTGCGACGAAGGAGCCCTTAATGACTTGGACGACGATGTCGAGTTGGAGCGGGAGAGCCGTCCTGTTTCCGATGACGACGATCCAAAGCCAGGGGCTTTTCCGCTGTTGGCATACGTGGGGCTACCGGGAGAACTCTGCAACCGAGATGACCGTGATGGCGGCGGGGTCTTGTAGCCTGTAGTGCGCGATGACAACGACGGTGTGGACGACGTTGTTGGCGGCTTGATTGGAAGAGTGGATGTCGACGCCGTTTTGACGGAGCTCGAACGCGTGGGCAGCATGCTCGTAGTCGATGTGCGGGATGTTGACGCTGCGGTAGACGTGGTGGTAATGGTACTCCGGTTGCGCAACGACGACTCGCGCGGCACAGGAATTGCCGACGGTCGCGTCCGAGCTACTGTGGACGTCGACGATGATCCAAAAGCGAACGAAGTTGTCTTTGGCAGACTTGAGGTGGGTTTTGATCGTGTCGAGGAGGTCGATACGCGGGTGGGTTTCATTAGCCGCGACGTCGGTGGCGACGCCATGAAACTATCTTCAGTGTGGCACGACACTTCTGAATACTGCGACTCGGAATCCATACTGGCAGTATCGTCAAAGTCGAGTGCCTTGACAACGCTCGGACTTGTGGGCAGCATGTCTGTCTCGACGTCAACAAGGGAGCGCCGACGCAGCATCGTCGAGATCGACACACGGGATGCACCGTCGAGGAGGGCTTCCCGCATGAGTTTTTCCTCGTTGGTTTCCTGTCCTTCTGCCATGAATAGAGGCGCCGACGTCTCAGACAAGCCGTCTAAGTCTTGCTGGAGTTCCAAGTCCAGCAAATCGTCGACGTCCATGCGCAGTCGGCCGTGTCAAGGCTTGCCGCTTGGCTTGCTCGACGGATGTAAGATTGGATTGCCACTCGACGAAGATCGAAGTTCGAAACTATGTTGCACATAAAATTCGAAGTGTAACGGCCACGCCGTATACTTTATTCTTGACTACGTTGTCGGCAAACTCACCGAAGTTTTCCAGTGTTCCGGATATAGTCCGGATACCCACTGCGCCAGATGTGATACACACAGGCGAGGCGTCGCAAGGACCCCTCTTTCCGACAACGTTGTCGACACCGTGCCTGGCGTGCCAAGGACTGGCACCTAATATCCATCAGGATGCGGTGTTACTCGACGCTGTCGGTAATGCCAACCCCGGGACCTTCCTCTCGAGGATGCTCCTTCTGGCCAGACGTCCTCCATCCCCTTCCTCGCCCAGTTGAGTGTGGTACAGTGTAATTCTAGCAGATTATGGCCATGTCCTCGCGGCGCACTTATTCCACGCGATCCCCAATGAGAAACACTGTCATGAGAGGCTTTGGGAATGTGTTGCGCGCGAGAAACATAGCGAGGCACGCGTGTTGTCTCGACTTCGACGACGGCTGACGGCGAAGATGATGAGGATTGACGCATGCGCTGAATTCCCACGATTGTGGCGTTTTTCACTTTAACGTATCGTGGGACTGACGTGTTTTACTATTTCCATGGTGGCCCTTCGCGTACCACCGCTGGTGTGGATTGGAGCGGCGGCGGTCGTCGCGGCTGTGGTTTTGCGCAATGTGGTGTCGTCGACTGCTCGATATGGCAAAGCAGCAGGGCGAAAGGGTGTCATGCTCGAGGTATTGCTTCATAGGACCCATTCGATGCTGACGGTGTGGCTTCGAGACAGGGTGCACCATTGACCGAATTGGACAAGCACTTTGCCCATGCTTCAGCGTACGTGTCGTCCAACCCCAAGCAGTCGATCTCAAATGAAGAGGTGTGCATGCTGCTCGTGAATCTGCATCGTTGTGACGACTTTCGAGTAGAAGCTCGTTCTGTATGCGTTTTTCAAACAAGCCACCATGGGCGATTGCATCGACAGCAAGCCATCGATCGTGGACTTTGTGGCAAAAGCGAAATGGCATGTCAAAGCGTTAACCATGGACAGCGTCACTCATGCACGTGCTGTAGGGATGCGTGGCAAGGACTGGCTGGAATGACCGCAATTGAAGCCAAGAAGCGGTACTTGGAGGTCGTGTCGTCCATATATCCCAACTACTCGTACGGCGCCCAACTGCCGTCGAAGTGTACAAGCGAAGTGTCGGACTCGGAATCTGACGGGGGTGGCGACATGAGTTTGACGCCGCTCATGAGTCAAGTCATCGTGGACAAGTCAGCCTCCGCATTTTCTTCGCGTGGAGCCTTACACAGTGCACGCTCGGTAGAACAACCAAGGAGTGGCAAGTGGAAGAAAATGCATTCCACTTTGCGAAAACAGGCCAACTCGATGCACTGCAAGACATTGTGGCCAACTCCTCCGACGACGTCATCAACCAAAAGGTGCCGACTCGAGCGTGTCTTGACGGGTTGCTCATACAGTCTTGAGTGCGTAGGACGACGAAGGTCGAACGATGCTGCATTGGGCTGTCGACCGAAACCAACCCAACGTTGTCGCTGCACTCCTCGCGCAACACGCAAACGTGCGTGCGACGGTGGGCTCACCTGACGTCGGGCTCCGACTGACCAAATGTGGCTTTTAGGACAATGATGGCATGACACCGCTGCACTACGCCGTTAGCTGCGAATACGTGGAACTGATTGATTTGCTGGTATGATCCTTCGAGTCTCGCATCGTGGCTGATGCAACGTGGTGAAGTTGCAACATGGAGCCGACCCGCAGCAACCCGATGCCGACGGAGAAACCCCGTTCGCCTCAGCGACCAAGTGTATGCAGGCCCACATCACAGCAGCGCTCAAGAGGTTAGATACCTCCGCCTGATCGTTGCTCGAGCCGCGTCCGCTGGTCGACGTGCCATGACAAACGAATCGCTGGCCTACGGCTGCAAGCAGGTGTAATTTTTTCACCCATGCGGCAATTTGATTGGCTCGTCACCGATTTCTCATTATTGTGTGCGTCACATATCCCAACCATCGAGATCACTTGGATCCTCGAGAGGCCGATTCGTTTTCCTCGTCTTTCGTTCCCTGCTCCTCGCAGGTCGTGCTACTGGGACGTCGTGGGACTCGAGAGCTCGGCGCATTTGTTGCGCCATGACCACAGGCGCTTACAGTACATTTTACAAACCCCCACAGCACTTGACCCAACTCAGGAGACGCCACGGCGCAGGCGGATGCAACACCAATGGCTCCGAACATGGAGTGCCCACCACACGGAGGCCCATCTTCGTGTGCACCGGGCATGGTGTGGGTAAATACAATCGTGCCGCCATCCACCGCAGCGCCGTGACGGCCGCACTGGTAGTGGTCGGTTGCGGGAACGGATTGCCAGCAGCGCCACGTCGGTGCTGTTTCCAGATTGCGTCGTTGGAAACCCAAAGCGCCGCAATATCTTTCGGAAATTGATAACAATGCCTTGTTTAGATCCTAAATGAGCCTCTAAATTTGTACAAAAACGGATTCTTTGCGGATGTTCGAAATTCCACATGGCGTTGATATTCAGGAGAACCGCTGCACTTTCTAGGCGAACTCACTTTAACATGCGTTAAACCACAACCCATTTGAATCATACGGCGAGCGGCGTTTTATTCCGGGTGCGCGTTGATCGGGTCTGTGTTGGCCGCTGCGAACCAGACACCCGCTTGCCGTCGAACCCACTCCGTTGTGGTGATCTGTCGTCCCACATGAGTCTACCTTGTGACTGCGGGCGCCGTATATGTACCTGCGGTCGGGTGGGCAATCAATGTCGTTCCGCCGAACACACCCGAGATGTGGAGGGAATTTCGTCCGTTTCATGGTTTGTAGGAATGGACTACCATAATGCAAGAAATTGTGTTTCAAACATGTGAATGGAGATTGTAGACGAAGCCTTCATGGCGCCAAACGTATGAATGGGGCTGCAAACCATGCGGAAAACACGCATGGCCTTGTAGTCATGGAAAGAGCTCCCTGGAATGGAGTCAATTCGGGCGACTTCCAAGAGGCAAGTTGGTACAAGGGGTAGTAAATATTCGTCCTCGTTACCACAGCTTGAACCGCGCTCAAATAGCCATCATGTGCCGTCCATGTCAAAGCCCAACTTCAACAGCCGTACAAGTAAAACGTGCATCGTTTAAAACGTATAACCGCGTCGAGCCAGTTTGTCCCAAGCATTTCTCTCCGCCAAGAATTTTAGCCAATCAAATGACGGCAAGTGTGTGTGTGGTGTTTGGTCTATTTTCCTTTTTGCCCAGAAGTGCGCACATCCCAGCAATCTCCCGCCCTTCGACGACAATGCTCACGTCCGTCGTCGCCAAGTTCACCGACTCCCACCTCGCCACGTACGTTCAATGTCACGCCCGCACCATCGCTTGCATTCTTGCACTCTCGGGTGTGACTGTTGTCCTCGTCCACACCGAACCGTGGAAGTTGTGCCTCCTTGCAGTCGCCGGTCTCATCTTGCTTCCAGTCATGCTCCAACACAGCTTCTTGGTACATGAACAGAAGAAAAGTAGCACACATTTCGTCGCAGGATGCGGCGTCGAACTCCAAAACACGCCCAAGAAGGACGAACAGGTGCAACCCGTCGTCATGGACCAAATTGTACTGACCAACAACCAACCTGTCCCGCCGCTTCTCGATCCGTCCTACAATGTGACGTTTCCCCTGCCGTGTGTTATGCCGGCACTGCCCATGGACGGACGAAAGGGTCTGATGCCGAAGAACGTGCTCCAAATTCGCGAAGAAATGTTTGCTAAGGCCATGGGATCTCTTCGCTCACTTTCGCCTCGTAACCAACCTGTCGTGCATCACTTGGACCTGATCAAGTACGCGGAAGAGATCGACGAACTCGAGTCGCAAGTGCTTTAATCGAAACGAGAAGGAATGCATGATCACTGGTATAGTTTGAGTGCGGTGAAACCTCTAACACTACCCTCTCCCTTCCTTTGTATTTCCGCCATGGAACCATACGAAGCAACTGCATTCCACGCCAATTGCAAGCAAGTGTCTGCCCCTCCACCGCGTCTACAACTCCTCCAGCGGTGATATGTCGGCATCCGGGTTCGACCTCGTCCATCCATCCACACGTGATGAATAGGGAGTCGATTACACTCTTACCGACCGTGGCTACACCCTGACAGCGTCTTGGTTGATTGGGGGAATCGATGGCGACAGGTAGCCCGTGCGTTGATGAAGCGACGACTTTCGAGCAGGGGACGACGCTGGACTTTCATGCTGTCCTTCTTCGCGGCCGTCGTCGTTCACGTGGCTGCGCCGGCGGTCCAGTCCGACGACGCGCTGTTTCCCTTCCACGAGTGCTGCTATCGCATCTGCCACGGTATCGAGGGTCTTCAGCGCGTCGGGGGAGATGGAGTCCACGTCCCGAGGGGTGGCGTCGAACACACACAGTGCACCAAGGAATTGTTGGCCCGATGAGCTGCGAAGTGGCAGCCCCGCGTAGAACGTCGCGTTTTGAGGTCCCATCACGATGGGCAGCTTGAGCCAGTCCACATGGGGAGTCGCTTCGAGGTGTGTGTGGCCCACGATGACACTGTCGTCGCACGCAAAGACTGGCGCGCACAATGCCATTTGCGACGGGACCGGTAGCATCTTGCCGCTGTCTTGGATGTGCAAAAAGTGCTGGAGCACGGGATCGGATGGGGTTTTCACCATGGAGAGCCCTGCGAATTTGCACTGCATGGCGGTGGTGGCTTGCTCGAGGAGGCCCAAGAGCGACGACGTCGTAGGGACCGACAGTTTTCGCTGCGGACTGCCGTTGTGTGGAGGTTTACCGGGCGATGGAACGGGACTTGTGTTCGGGTGGCGCACTGCAAACCCATGGAAGCCACCCTTGGTTGGCCCGTGACCAGCGGCGCGAGGAGGCACCAGAGGACTCCGTGGCGCCCACTTGCCAGGGCTGGGTCGTGGAGCGGGGGTTTGTACCATGTCCAAGTCCAGCTGCATTCTGTTCCGGATCGCAATGACGGGAGGGGCGGGAGTTGTCGACGACGATATCGCTCCGACTGTTGCCGGAGCAGTTGAGGCGGGTAATGGCGCTTGCGTTGTGGTGGTGGCCGTCATAGCAACCAAAGGTCTCGTTGGTGCAGCAGCAACCAAAGGTGGAGTCTCCACTGGCACTGGTCGACAAGACGTGCAAACTCGTACGCGATTCAGACCGACGCCAAGGACTGCCACGTCATGGAACGAGCTGCACGCGCGACACACGTCACCAGAGCAAGAACGGCACTGGTGGCGGCGTCGACGGTGGGAAAAGAGACGTGCGCAAAGTTTGCATGCAATCGATCGGGGCGCGTTCTCCCGATCGTTGTTGTCGCCCAAACTCTTGGACATGCTAGAGCGAGAGGTGGGCACCGGATGAAGCTGCTGCTGCACGACGTCCACGGCCTGCTGAAGACGAGGAAGCGCCGCCGCCAGGAATAAAAGCAGTCGGCGGTTCGCAAGCCGCCGCAGTCTGCTCGTCGAGTCGTGCGCCAGAGACATGGTAAACACCACTTGGATGCCGTCGTTGGTGGCGTACAAGACGTAGCCCCAGAGAGGACTGGTCCCGCGCTCCAGGCGATGCGAGTCCTGCAGAGACGGACACTGCTTGCGCGAGATGGATTCGCACACTTTGTACCCAATGCAAGTTTGGCCAGCGTCGACGTCGTTCTGGTCCACGTCTTCCTGGTTGGCGCTTCGCTGGGACGGCGCCGATGGTGGAAACAACGGGGTGTTTGAGTACTCGACGCAGCACAAGTCCATGTCGGTGAGCAATGGATTGTGACAGCGAAAGGCCGTCCACTGCACGGCCAACGACTCGTGGCAGTTCATCTGGTGATGGTAAAGGACGGCCGTGTCGGCGAATGCGTGCTGGTACATGAGCCGCATCGCGTTGCGGTAGGTCGACACGACGGAGCCGTCGAGAACCTGCAGGAGCAATTGTGGCGAGCCATGAATCAACGCGCTTGCGCGTACGCTCGTGTGCGTCGCCGACGTCGACTCCAAGATGGTTGGTCCAAGCGACTTTGTTCGTGTCCACTCTGGTCCTGGTGACGGCGCCGTTGCTGCAAGCAACATGCTCACCTTGGACCGTGCCGAGTCATGCAAGTCCGCCTCTTCCTCTCGCGTCAAGTCGAATGGCGTTATAAACGCCGTGGACGCCGCCGGCGACGGCGGACTCTCCGGAACGTCGTCGAACATCGGGTCGCGGTCGCGGCGACTGGTGGGGCCGTGTCCGTTTCAGATATAGGAAGTCGGATTGACCAGTCACAACCGGGCATGTTGCAATCGTTTTGGCAATTCGATCGAGGCTGGTGCCGTCATGAGGGGCAACTGGCGGGTGTGGAGCACTGCGGTGCTTGTGGCGGCAACATTCGTGCCGTGCGCGCATGGAGATTTCATGCCGTTCTCCATGAACGTTGCCACGAGCTCGCGATCGGTTCAAGTGCATATCCTCATGTCCCAGTCGGCATCCCTCCACGATCTCAACAATCACAGCACCAGCATCACGTCTGCGTTTCACGAGTTCCTCACACGTGCTGGACAGACAGACACGACGGTGACCGTGGTGGACGCGAGTATCGTCGGGCAGCCAGAGCTTTCGTTGTATGCCAAGGGCGAGCTCGAAGTGACGTTGGATGTCGCGCTGACGAGTACCGCGTCGCGCAGCCAAGTTTTGGAGGCGACGCATGGCAGTGTCACGTGGAGCGGTGTCAAAACCAACGTGGCGTCGGTACCCTTTCGATACAATCTATTGGGGGCCACCTATCCGTGGGAGGTCCGTGGCGGCAACCTGACATTGCTCAGCATGTCTCTGACAGGTGCTGTGGGACACATCCTTTGGCAACATTCCCCGCTTCCCCGAGGCCCCGTACGTGTCTTTATATCTCGTGATGGCCCACGAGGTTGCTCCGTCCGTGTGGTTACGTATCCGGGTGAAGCATGCCGTCGCGTTCGTGCTTGGGGTGTCCCCAGCATCGCTCCATATCTCGACAGATTGGGCGGTCCATACCCCGCTAAACGTGTACAACCAGCCGACGACAGTCGTTCTCGTCGTTGTCGAGCTCGTAACTAGCGAGCATCGCTTGCAGAGTGCTGACGACCTCTCGAATAGACCCCATCGCGTGCCAGCCACCGGGACGAGATTGTACAGACTGTGAATTCGCAGCGCGTGGCATTACAAGCGTCGATCCGTGTGTTCGCCAACCTAACGCTGCTGGCGTCGTCGATCCAAAGCGATGCGGATGCCTTTCGCGCCCAAAGGTACCTGCCGTCGAGTCGGCGTCACTAGCATGCTCGCCGGTGTGGATGACGTTGGTTATGTCTAGCACGTATCCCTTGTCTCTGGCCGTGCAGCCCCTTCTGTACCGCACACCGCATTACTTTGCCGCGTGGGAGATCAACACGGACGATAGACATAGCAAGTCGTCTTCGATCTACCTGCAATCGTTCGCACGGCAAACGCCATATTCGTTCCAAACGATCCACCAAGACATTGCCACGTTGGCGGCTGCGCTCAACGCTGCGACGACGTCGGTCCACCTACCCGTGTGGCAATTCAATCGACTCATCGTGCTGCCTACCGCCCAGCCGTGGCCTCCACTAGCCAACACGACAGAGTACCCTGGGGCATCTCTCGTCATCGACCTGGTCGTGGACGCCACGGACGACTCCATTTCGGCCGTCCTGGAACAAACCCAGCATGTTGTGGCAGACTTTGCCTCGACGTGGGCGATGCGCGACACCAACATGGTCGCGCCAACCGCAGCCACGACGTGGACCCCGCACTTGACGTTTGCATGCGGTGGCCCGCTGACCCACTCGATTGCGCACGTTCGCGTCGCTCTCGCTGCCTTGTTCAACGTTTCGTACAGCGCCCTTGAATGCGTGTCCACATTCAACGAATCCACGCTGTGGGAGCTCGACGTGCGCGATCCGTGGCACCGCGTCAACATGATCACGCGATTTAATACCGTCGAACTCTGGCATGACGCGTTCTTGCCGTTTTTGGACTCGCCGCCGCCCAACTGTACGCTTGAAGAGAGTGCGGATGGGGTGTTCTCGGCCCTGCCCTTGCTCTACCCATCGTCTGCCGCTCCGTGGAACGACGTGGCTGCGCAGGACGGACCCTCTGCGTGCCTAGCTATGTCTCAAATTCCATTGGCACGGCCCGCGACCGGTGAAGCTTACGGCAGCCCCCCGTCAGGGGAATGCGTGTGGGAGCTTTGCGTGGAGCTCTCTTTGATGTCGGCAGGGTCGCCCCCTCTTGTGCTCGACCTCGTCGAAGCCTCTCCAAATGTCGTCTTTGTCGAGCCCTACGCCACCTCGTTGCTGCTTGATCAATTCGCCACGTGGTAAGTGGCTCATCGTCACGGCAAACACAACGAGGAGGTCATGTTGGACCGAGTAGGACGTTGCAAACATCGCTGGACGTCCTCGACGTGGTTTTGTACTTTCGATTTGCCAACACCCATCCTCCAGTCGACGACCCTTCCAACACAAGTGACGTGGTCGTGCGGCTTCATGTGTATGACGCAGACAACGTTCGGGAGGTCACAGCGTCGTCGGTGGTCGGGGCTCCTGTTCGGCTTGTCACCCGCCAACGCGAGTTGCCATTCGAAGACGATGCCTCGAGTCCGGTGGCTGTGACTCTGCACCTACCCCACCTTGACCCCCGTACGAACCTTCCAGCTACCTGCTCCCACCTCACGACACGTTGCTCCGTAGCTGCCAACCCTATCCTACCCAACCCGGAATGCGATTTTCTCGTCGAGCAATGCCACAACTCTACCGCGTGCCTCAACCAGTACAACTGCATGCCGTACCTCATCTTCAGCCAGATGCTCCTGGATGACGAGTCGACAGCCGGCACGATGTCCGACATCACGGACAACGTTTTGTCGTGCTTTCATGACTCCACCGACGCCGCGTCGTGGCAGGTGCACGCGGCGGCGATTCAGTGCGCCATCTCTCGCCCGCACTACTTCCACCACACGTCCACCGTCATGACAGTGTTCCAGCAACCCGTCATGCCGCGGCAGACGTGGCAGCTTGTCGCCGACGCAACGCTCTTGCTCACGGTACGCCCGCTCGACTTTTCCATCGATGATAGACGAGCCGTCCAAAGTGGAAAGTTGTGTTGTAGTTGGAGCTCAAGGACGCCTCTGTTGTGCTGACCATTGACCAGACTACCAGTGAACAGCTCCTTGCCCGACAAATATTCGATCTTGTGACGGCGGAGGCGGCGGCCGTCCAAGTTGACGTTCACCAGGCGCTGGTACCATCGACCGACGGCAGCACCACACCACGAATTGGCTGGGAAGTTGTCGTGGAATACTTGAATTATGTTGGCGAGTTGCCACAAGCCACGTACTCGGCTTCGTCTGGAGTCGCAACGATGTCACAAGTGAACCCCCGGCTCGTGTTGGCGGTCGTGCCGACGCCGTACCCGCTCTCGCCGTCGTCACCGCCAGCACCGACACCCTCGCTCCCTGCAATCCCTTTCGTTGGGGCTGTCGGTAACCTGCCTACATGCCGTGATCAATGGCTCACGCACGCACTATAGACCGGTGTGTTCGGTGCCATGACCGCCTCCTCGCATGCATGCAAACACCGGCGTGCGCTGCGATCTTCGAGTGTGCAGTCACATCTCGATCGCTGCTGGCATTTCCTCTTGGCTATGTTGAAACCACGACCCCCGACGCCCTTGGCACATGCCAAGACCGAGCTTCGTCCAATGCCGCGTGGCGGCAGTTCGTCGCGACCAGGGCATGCTTTGCCCAGCGCAACTGCCCCACTGGTACGAACGCAGTGGACCGCATGGTGACGCTCACGATAACGTCCGCCTCCCATACTCTGCGTCTGCCCCGGCAAGCTGTGTCCACTCGATTGGTGGTGAGACTCGACTTCACGAGATGTCACCGTGACATGCCATGGTAGTACCGATTGGACAACGGCACCGTCGTGGCGTCGGCGCGCTGGACCAACACGTCGGCCTGTGCCAGCCTCGCCACAACTCTTCAAGGTCAACTCATGGCCGTCACGTCCATCTCGTCGGTCCTTGTCGACTGGGACACGTCAGCCGCCGAGGACGTTCTCACGATCGTGTACAAAGATCATGTCGGGCGCCTGCCGCGCCTGGCGGTAGTCACGTCGGGCCAAGGGTTGGCGCACCGTATTGTAGCCTCCGAGGCGTCGCTAGTCCAGACGATCCAGCCCCTTAACACGTCGCAGTACATCGTCGGCCCCACACCGTGTCCGTGTGGCACCTTTGGCACGACCTTTGCCGGTGCCCTAGCGTCCGTCGCCACTTCACTGTCGTCGTCGCAGCCGTTCGACGACATCTCGAGCCTACTTGAAACCTCAGCCACCCCCGCCGACTTGGTGGTCACGTCGTGCTATGCCGCGAGCTCCTGTCCTCTCGTGCCTCCGCTCGCCCATTCAGCTGTCGTGATCACGCTCACCCCCACCATTGTAACCCTTCTGGTGTACCCCACCAGCACTGGGCTCGCCACATCGACATACTCGGCCGATTTTACCCTGGGAACTGTGCCCGCGATCCTTCGAGTGACACCGACGACAACAGCGGCGTCGTTGCTCCAGAGTTTGCTCGCTCAAGATGCGACGCTGTCGCCTGACGCCTCGGTCGACCTGTCCTGCGATGTGGCTGGCGTCTGCCGTGCCACTTTGCTTCTGCCATACATCGCTGGCCCTCTCCCATCCATCGACGTCCAGACGACCACGAATGCGAACGTGAACGCATTCACGAGCTTTCCAAACCACGTGGACGCGACGACTCCTCAACGTCTCCAGCGCGTCACGTTGCGGCTTTTCTAGCGAAGCCAGCTGCGTTGTCCACACCTGCCACGGTCCATCGCAGAAGTGAGGCAGATTAAGTGCACCCAGCACCTCACGGCACAAACTTGACTTGTACAAGTTCTATGCATCTTGTTTTTTGCTGTCTAGTCCTTGGTCCTGGTTCGGGGCCGCAGCGGTGGTAAGGTGCTGTGTCGGCGGCGCCTTCCGATTTTGGTGCTGCTGTTGTCGCATTCGCTCTCGCAAACTCAAGCTTGCCCCTGGCCGTGTCGTTGGTTGTATTCGTGCTGCTTTTTTCGATGGCGGTTTTACAAGCTGCAGCACGTCGACGAGGGCGCTGCCCGTGAGTTGGTCATTTGCAAGCTGCGTCATCTCGGCGGCCTGCACACACAAATACGTCAGATGCGCCATCGTTTACAAGAACCGTGCACGCACCCCCACCACATCGCGGAGCAAGGCAAATGCGCGCTTGGTGTCGTTCTTGCAAGCGACAACGCGGCACGCAAGGAACTGGGCCAACGACGGCAGCCACGACGACACATGGGGCTGCCACGTGGACCATTGATTTGGCGTTGTGTTGTCTTGACATCTCCGCAGAATTTTCTCCACGTATTTCCCGGCCTACACCACACGATAACGTCACTTTTGTCCCATCGATGCACCCCGGCGAGCACCCAAGGTCGACAGGGATAATGACGCCGAAAGGCCTTTCCAGGAGATCATCGAGCTCGTGGCAGCATGCAAATCCGATTCACTTGCACGACGACAACACGGGCTTTTTGATGGAATCCATGATGGCCTTGCTACGTTATCGGCCCAGTCGACATGGCATGCCATCGCGGCGATCTCCAAGGAAACACGTACGGTCGCAACCAAGTTGGGGTTCTTGTCGTTCGAAAACGACACCAAAACCTGGAGAAGCTCGAGGGGACTGCAACACGTTGCCACGTGGTCCAGGGCCTAAACAAAGAGTTGAGTGGCAGGAAAGGCGTGATGAAAGTGACCTCATGCGCAGCATCGCGGATAAACCTTTTTTCGTTGATGGATCGTCGCAGGAGCACGGGAATGAAGAGCCCTGTGGAGGTTGCACGTCGAGCGTGAACGACACAAGAAGCGAAAAGTGTCAAGGGTACCTGAATGAACAGTCGCTGACTCGCCCACGCATTGTACGTACTCGGAGATGCAATACAGCCCACTCCGCGACAACGCGGATCGAAGATGTTCCGCGCTGGGGACAACAAGTCCGTTCAAGCATGCTTCCCTACAAGGAGGACGAATCGGTGTGAAAAAAGAAAAAGGGAGAACAATCGACAAGAGCGGCATACGCATCAGGAAAGGCGGCAGTTTGGATTGACGACGGGTGGAACTTGATCGATTGCCTGAAATGCTCCAGCGCCGTGTACTGTTCGCTCCACGGAGCAGTGGCAAGCGATGGACTCCATGAGAATTTTTCCCTTGGCGGTACAAGATCTTCTTGGCGGAGAACCACGGCCTCAATCAAGTCGTCTTCGTTATCGGGGGCACCAGGGTCCTTGGCCGCGTCCGTCGTTGTCCTCGAATCTTCTGGTTCGGTCTTCCCCTCATCAATGGACATGGGCGCCGCGTGTTTCTTGTCTTGGTGCTTCTCCTGTCCTGATGCAAATGGATTCTTCCTTTTCATGCGCGATGCGGCTAGTAACCAGCGCCGCCGCCACCCGCCGTCTCGTCCGTGCGCTCGGGAGTCCGACGAATCGAACAAGTGGTCGTACCTGGAATTTTAAAGCACTTATCGCGGCGAGTATACAAATCCCGTGTGCATTTTATAGATGTCGACGCTCCCTGCATAAATATGACATTTATGCACATTCGATTGGCCAAAATCATTTCAGACACATTCCTTGAAAAAAAAATTCCATCCCGAACGAGCGAAAGATCTTTGGGCTCTTTCTTGGTGTAGTTTTTTGTTTGCCATTTTTCGTTTTTGCCTCAACAATTTTTTGGTCGAACACACGACCGGAATGGGACAAGGAGTGGAAACGATGAGCATGGAGTTTCGGTCTCCCTTGAGATGCAAACCGACATATGCCCCGCGACAACCGAGTCCATGCAGCAGCAGATCCTAGTGTACTGGATGCGCCATGAGAAGGCCGCAAAACAGGCTTCTGTGTGAACAGTCTGTTACACCAACTTCCTCCGTGTCTCCCTTCCATGCGCTGCGTTTTGAACGGAGAAGGAGTGTGGGTGTGTGGAATCTGTCATTTCGATCGGTGTGCCAGTCAACTATATTGTTGCCCCTGTCCTGTTCGAAGGTGCAAGTGCTCCTATGTGTCGACTACGATTGTAATCTATACGTTGTCGATTCTTGCTGGAACAGAGTCATCGTAGAGGTCGAACTCCTGTCGATCAGGGCGATATGCCAAGCGGATGTGTCCACGGGGTTTCTCGGTAGCAGGCGAGCTTGATTCTCATGGGGATGTGCTCCATAGTTGCTGACATTCTTGGCAACAACTGCCGTGGCCGACGACTCGCCTGGCCACCATCATAACGTACCATCGTTGAGCGTCCAACGCAACTCGAAAATCTCAGCGTCGACATCGATGCAAACAGTCGCAACAAAGCAGTTTTCACATATCCCGTTGGCTTAGATCTCGGCCATCACGAAGTCGATGTTGTTGGGTTCTCGTGCTGCATGTTCCGACGTCCTTTCACGACCGCTCGCTCCATGGTGACCGTCGCTCGCTCTTGTGTCATTTGCGCTCTGTGTCCTCTTCGAAACCCCCGAAGCTCCCGAAACGAGGGTATCGCTTGCTAAAAATACTTGGTTCCTAACCACTGTTGTTTGCTCGGGTGCATACCTTCCTGGAGAGCTCCGCCGCTGCCGTCAACGCCTGTGCGTCGTTCGCCACGATGGAAGACGAAATGCTTCCCCTGATGCTGTCATGGATCACGTACCTGTACATGCCCGTGGCTGTGGTCGTGTACCTCTGCTATCGCGAGCGCCCATCGATCAAACACCGCCTTCCCATCGGCACGGCGAGTGCTGGCCTCTTCGCGTCGGTATACTGCCTTGCGCAACCTCTATGCACGTACTTTAGCGAAAGCGCGTCGTGTGGGTGAGTTTGTCTTGGTTGCGTCTGCGAGGCTCAGTCGAGCGGGGTCGTCTGCACGTAGGTCGACTCTGCTCGTCCTCACCATTACGTGCAACACAGCCGTGGTCGTGCTCGTATGGACTTCATTTGTCGTGCTCGTGCTGTACAGCATCACCGAGATCATTGCCCAGCCCACAAACGTGTCGCATGACCGCGTAGCAATGTGGAACTACTTTCGAGGGATGATCATTCCAAGCATTCAAGTGCCCGTCGGGATCTGCGTCTGTGTCGTATGGAATTTGCCGCACATTCTTTTGCTCGCGCTCAACGCGACAAACATCTCGCATCTTAGCTACGCGCAGTGCATCAAGGTAGCGTCCGGCCCCCGACCGACCTTTCGTCTCAACCACGACGCCTAGATGGACTTTTTCAGCCTCATCATGTACATTTCGATCGGCCAGGCTGCGGTCCTCGTCGCAGCTTTCCTCTGCACTGGGTACCAGCTGCGCCACACGACCGACACGTTCCGCGTGCGATGGTCGTACGAGTACACGAGCTTGTACATGGTGTTGTGCTCGTGCATGTGCTTGCTGTACTGGCTCGTGTCGTCCTACTCGACAGCGCTCACTGGTTTCCACGTCATCGAAGTGATGACAACGCAAGGGTTGCAAGGCATTGTGTTTTTCAACGTGCTGCTGCCCGTTATCAGCACGTACAAGGACCGGCACAAAGTCACCGACCTCACCGGGAGCACGTCTCTCCAAGTACGGCTTTGTCGGCCGAGTGGATCGAGTGGTCACGTTGTCGCGGTGGGTTGTAGGTGAATTGGGACTCGTACCTGCAGTCGAACGAAGCGTACTTGAGCTACATGGAGTTTTGCCGCGGCCGCACGGCGGTTCTGCTGGCGTGGAAAGCAGCCGTGGATTTCCGTAATGGCGACAGCAAATTGAACGTGTTCGAATTGTACCAAGAGCACATTTCCCCTGATGGCGCGTACAGTGTCTACGACGACCTGCCCGACCTCATGCGGCGCAAGTACACGAAGAAGATCCACCGCCTGCGCAAGAAGGCGTCGCTCGTCATGACGAACGTGTCCAAAGTCGTGCCCGTGTCCGACGACGTGGATGTCGACTTTTTTGAGCCCTTGCGCCGTGAACTGGTGGGTTCGATCCATGTGTCGTGGTTGGCGTTTTGACATTGTCGGGCAGGTACGGATCATGGTCACGACCTCGCTGGCACTGTACGAGAAGGACGAGCTAGGAAAAGATTGGCTCTCGTTCCACACGCGACGGAGGTCCATTCACAGCCTCGAGTACGTCCAAAAAGTTGCGAGCAAGGCAGAAGTCCTGCGAGAACCAGCAGCGGTCAACCAACCTAAACCAGAGCAGTTCTGGGGGTCTGCAATGCATTCCAAGTCATCCGACACGCAGCTGGTCAAGGACGACATCATGAATACACCAGACGTACGTGCTGTGCGATTGTATTGTGCGCCGATGGTGACGACGATCTGGGATGGTATAGAGCCCAAGCCGACGAACAGGTTCCCGCAAATTCGCCACGGAAGTGCCTCAGCGAATAGACAGCGGAAACGGTCAGAACGGCGCGGGGGATGACCTCGTGGTAAAGCGCGGGAAAAGTCAAGATGATGTCGCCGCCGCTGCCACCGACACCAACGAGTTTGACACAAGCGGCACACCGCGGAAGATTTTGTTCGAGTGAAACCGTCAGAGCTCTGATTGGTGGAAATGGCGGAAACACCGCTAAACGAGCCAATCACTATTTAAATAATTTGTCCTGTTCTAAAATGAGTTTAAAACTTCGTTCCTGCGGACACTTTGAAGCGGCTCCTCGATCATGCCGCCGAGCAACAACTCGATCGGTCAAGCGCTCGTCTACCTGCGTCCCCTTCGACACATGTATAGTGCTCGTTACAGTGCGTCCCACTAACCTGATGCAGGTTTGACGTGGTGACGACTGTTTCCGTGTTGAACGACGACGGCAATTCGCTCGGCTCCCTTGTCGTCCACGTGCGTCCTTCCCCGAAAGCCACACCGTCCGATGCACCCAAGAGCAGTGGGAATAACGCAAAGCTCGTTCCGGCGGATGTAGACGACTTGTCTGACGACGAAATGGACGACATGAAATCTCTTGACGGCGAGTTCCTGTGGATCTCGATCCAGGTCCATGTCGACCCGTCCACGCCGTCGTTGCTCTTAGCAAACCCCGCCAACTATCGCGTCTCGTATGTGTTCTTTCAATCCAACACACAAGTTTTCCCCCTCGAACACGCAAACGTACAGCACTCAAAATCCTCGGCAAGACCCGTGGAGGATTGATCTGTCGCCCTAGATGATCAAAGTACTCGTTACACCGCCGTTTGTCGACTACGTCAGTGCCGACACGATGAGTTTCGAAGTGGTGCCGTTTACAGACGTCGCGTCGGAGCCAAGGACAGCTGAGCTATTGTCGACTACAGCACCACCCTACGACGATGCATTGCTCCACACGGCGCTGCTGGAGGAAATCCAGCGCGACAAGGCAAAGATGGCCCAAGAACACGAAGCCGAGAAAAAGAGGAACGAGGAAATGCGTGGCGAAATGAGCAAGTTGATCCATCATGTGAAAGAACAGGAGGACACGATCCTGGAACAGGTCAAGATGGGCCAGACGGCAGCGTCAGAGCTCGTGGTATGAATGGCACATACACCAGTTTGAGCCCTCCATGATGGTGGATATGCGAGGGAAGAGGTTGCAGGAGAAGGCGCGAGCAGACGCGCGTGAGAAGGAACTGCTTCTCAAGCAAATCACGGACACCGACTCCAAGTACCAGACACTTCTTGACAACGCCAACGCAAACAATAAGTCCAAGGCGTGTATAATACAATAGAAGCCGAGATGCTAACGCTGTGGCTTGCGATCCATGGCGTCGACAAGCGACGGAGTCTGCGCTACCAGTCGAAGCGTCGCGAGGTCATCAATTCCTTGACGAAGGTACGCCTTGATCTTCACAGGATCTTGTTCATGACGACGCAAGCGAATGATCTCTCGAGCATTGAAGCGGATCTTCTTGCCCATGAGAGGCGGAAATTCCCGAGCGACGCGGCATACGTCACGGTACAGACCCATGCAGGTCTGTGCCGCCATTCTTCCACCTCTAGGAATTGCCCGGATTACAGTATCCGGATACCCACCATTGTACTAGAAGGTTGAAGTACTAATTGCGCTGTCTTATTAGTACCAGTACCTGCCTTTAGTACTTATGTAGAGTAGAGTATGTACTAACAGTAAGTAGTACAATATTCGACAAGCATTAGTTGTTATAGTTGCCTTGCTCATATCAGGTACACTTCCCTCAACAGTCGAAGCAGAGCAAACCAACTCTTTGGCAGTAGAACCCCACACATTTGTCGAAGTGACAAGCACCTCCACCTCAACATGCTTCCCCCAGACCTCCGCTTGGCTGCAGAGGCCGAGACATGTGCCCAAGTTCGCGATGTCACAGTAGTCGCTCTTCTCCTGAACGGAGGTCCTAATTAGTCATTCCCTGCAATTACGTCCCAAATAGGTCGAACTGTGCCGAAATATGCCGTGGCACTCGTCTACACGAGGAATGATTTTTCGCCGACCCCATCGTCAGCACGTGGATCGCATCTTGGGTTGGCAGTCGTCGCCATCGACTGCAACCACGACGTCGTCGGAGAGAGCGGAACTCTCTTCCCGGCTCCAAGATGATTCTTTACTTGATTGGACTGGCGCGAGCATTTCGCGCGGTGACCCGCCAAGCACATCATGTCGGCGAATCAATGTTCCCAAGGACTCGTGGATACCGTTCGTTCAGGTGTTGATAATGAACAAGTTCCTACGACTAAATAAATGCCCTTCTAAAGCTTTCTACGGCTCCCTTCAGCCATTCACTGAAGCGACTGCGCTCGCCGCATGGTCGCCATGGTTGCAATGTCGTCGGTCTTGGGGGTTTTAGACGGACCAAACGAGAACGACGTCGTCTTGCCAAACGTAGCCGAGTGCACACGTTTCTTCTCGGGTGACGCATGGGGTCCTTGCAAGTACCGAGGGGGAAGCGATACATTCGTTTTATCCAGGGGCCACTTGTTCAAGTCCAAGATCCCACCAACGACAGGCCCACTTCCCACCGACGACGACGACGCCGAGCTCAAACGAGAGCTGAGAATCTTCTCTTGAGGAGACACAAACATTGCGTGGCTGGTGGCAGGTGTAGCACCTTTAGGGGGTAGCATGGGTGTGCGATAAACGGTTGAAGGCTTCGCCATGATTGGGGTTGCGGTGGACGGACGTCGGGTGGGCACTGCACGAACTGGGGTTTTGGTCAACGATGATGTCGATTCAGGCTCCCGAGAAGGTTCCGTCGAGATAGAAGACTTTGCCTCCGCAGGGGCAGGTGTTTTCTCGTCAGGTGTGGGGAAAGCGGATGCGAACGAAAACGACTTGATTTGCTTCCACGTCCGTGACACGATGCGGCGTTTCTGTGGCGAGCTCTGCACGGTCTTAAAGTACTTTGGGGGGAGGTTCGCAGCGACAACATCAACAGACGACGTCGTCGGGGGATGGGTTGCGGTTGTGAAGCTCGAATGCACCTTTTCGACCTTAATTGCGTTGTCGGCATTAGCTCCTGACTTGGGAGATGCCACGGGGGAGAACGGACCGTACTCGTAAAAGCTCATCGTGTCGAAGCCTGTGTTGTCGAGATGCAGGCCACCAAAATCGTCGACGCCGTCGTGGAATCCGTCTTCGACGAGATTATGGCTTGGACAGAAGGCATCGGACACTGAGACGGCCGACGTCGGCGCCAGGACTCCCTCTTTCCCCGCTCGTCCTTCGGCAAATATCTCCATCTTGCAGATATCTACGTCGAATATCATGTGCTCCTCCGCGTCGTCCATCGAGATCACATTCATGGGGAGATCCAGCAACGACATGATGTCCGCCTTGCGTCCGCCGTTCACAACGAAAACTTCAAGAACATGACAACGACTGCATTCGTGCAACAAAGGTTGGAGGGACGGAAATGACAAAAAAAGGTACCACTCTCTTTACAATGTTCCATACACGGTCTCCATTCAACACCCGAAACCGGCACGACGGCACGACCTCAACCCCCTTTCGGATCGAATCTTGTCCTCTCTCGCCTCCACTTGATGTTTGTATGGACTATGGCGATTTATTTGCCACCATACAAATATCCAGTCTAATCAGGTGGACGTCTCTGATTGGTCAAAAAGAACAGCGCCATCTTGATCTTGTCGGCACGGTGGACGTGCGGCGCCACAACGCAGCGGTGTGTGGTGCGCTAAAGCAGCAATACCTTCAATCAGTCGAAGCGAAAGGTATTGATGGCTATGACTGCTTCTGGATTAAGCAGAACAGTCCATTTCGTGGGAGGCTGGCTTAGAAGAACGGGTTTGCGTTCGACGACTGTTGCTGCTGTTGTTGGGGAGGGAACCCACCACCACCGCGATTGGGTTGTTGTTGCTGTTGACCCATGCCAGCCATCGCGCCGAAGCTTCCAAACCGATTGTCTTGTTGCTGGGGCGGTTGCTGAAACTGCGGCTGGCCATACTGCGGTTGTTGGCCCATACCTCCTTGCTGGCCAAAAGGTTGGCCACCTAACCCACCACCTTGAGGAAACCCGCCAGGCATGACACCACCTCGGTTCCCATTGCTACCAAAGTTGCCGGGTTGGCTATACCCGGGGGCAGCGCCACCAAACGGAGGCTGTTGTCCAAACTGCTGAGGAGGCTGGCTCAAAGGAGCGTTGTTCTTCGGGCCGGAGCCGAACGCTGACATTCCAACCACACCGGACTGGTTAGCTGCTGGTGGGGCGCCGCCAAACCCGCCTTGACCTCCAAGGGGGTTGATGCTGGCAAATGCGCCACCACCTCCTTGTTGTTGCTGCTGCTGTGGCTGTTGGCCGAGGCTTCCTAGACCAGACTGGGGAAAGCCTCCGGGCTGCTGCTGGCCACCAAAACCAGGCTGAGCGCCGCCAAAAATACCTTGTGGTGCACCCAATCCGCCCAAACCAGGCTGTTGACCACCAAATCCACCAGGCTGAGGGCCACCGAACCCGGGCTGGGTCGCGCCGCCAAATCCACCAGGCTGGGGTCCTCCAAATCCAGGCTGAGGACATCCGAAGCCAGGCTGTGGAAACGGTTGACCAGGAAAACCAGGCTGAGGCGGGAAGCCTTGCTGGGGAGGGAACCCGCCAGGTTGAGGAAACCCTTGTGGCTGGCCAAAGGGCTGTTGGGGCTGGCCGAGGTTTCCGAACGCGTTTTGGGGGGGCTGCGGGGTTCCAAAGCTTGCCATGATGTTGTTCTTGGCCGCCTGGTGGCTCCCCTGTTGAAACGGATCGCTGCCCTTTGATGTGCTACCAAATTGACCTTGGGCTGCCGAGTTGCTGCCAAAGTTGCTCTGTTGAGACAATCCTCCAAACGCAGCCCATTCGTCTTGCTTGGGTGCCGCTGGTGGCGGTGCGGCAAATGCGTCAAATGTCTGCGCTGGGGCAGGCGGAGCTCCGAAGTTGCCGAATGCACCAGAAGGGGCGGCGGTGGGGGCCGGTGTGGAAAAATCACCAAAGTTCAAAATGTCTGCGGCGGGAGCAGGAGCCGCCGCTGCCTTCGCCGTGCCTCTTCGCGCAGGGGCTGCAAACACGAATAAGTAAGACATGTGTGAGCAAAGAATCGTTCATGGTACCTGGTTGCTCTTCAGCATCGGACGCTTCGCTCTCGGACTCCACGACTTTCTTGGACCTGCTGCTGCTGTTCGTTCGTTTCGCAGTCGGGTCCTCTGCATCGCGCGAAACGAAGCGCTTGCGCTCGTACTTGTCGCGGATCCAAATCTCCTTGTCTCGCACAGGCGAGTGTTCTGTGGGAATGCGGTAGTCCTTGGGCACGAGGGCCTCAAAGTACTCTTTGGCCTTGGCGTTGCCCCACCTTTGCATTTGCTACAAACACGACGACGCACGTCAAACAAGCTGTCATCGCGTCGGGCATCGACGGCATCGACAAAGGCATACCGTCACTTGTTCCGTCGTCCATGCATCGAGGTTGACACTCCGAACGAACGTAAGATGGACGCCAAGACTTCTGTGGATGCCAGAGCACGCAATGCAGATGAACACCCCCAAGTTGATCGACGCCCATCGAGGTCCACGCGCCCCGCAGTCTGCACAGAATCTGTTTTCCTCTCGCTTCATCAGCTCATCCAGAATCTTCTTAAGTTTGACTTGGTCATCGGGCTTCGCCGACTTCTTCGTTGCCATCGTGACGTGTCTGTCCGTCCAAACTTGAAATGCGCACAGATCCATCCACATGTACGTTTCTGGGGCTGTTTCGCATGGGGGGACCCACGATTTCGGACAATCGTTTTCGCGTTTCAAACAGCCGTATCGTTTGAAACTCCCTCGATTTTGCAATATCATTGGACAAAGCCGTTCGACCGAGTGTACCGAACAGGTTCGGGCAGTTTTTAAATGGAACTCGCCATTGTGCAATCCACCCCCGACCCCAAGAAACTCTGAAACCCCCGAAATCCATCGTTCGCCACATCCTGGCATGGCGGTAGCGACGCCTGTGGCGAGCTCGGCGGCTTCATGGCAACTAGCTGCGCATACAACTACGGTGTACATCATGGGGTGCAGTGCATGCATGTGTCCACGGCTTCGAAAGCTACGCATTCTAAATATACCAAGGTCAACACGATGGTGGGCGTCACACAGGCTCATTCTGCGATTCGATGTAGCTATGCCTTCGTCCGACGGAGCAATATAACCATGGTCGCTGCATGAGCCTTCACTAGAGCTGCTCAACATGGCGTGGAAGGCACGGCTGTGCGAACAGGGCGGATCTGGTGTTGCAGAGGTGACGTGTGTCAGGGCTTAGCAGTGAGGTGATTGGATAAAATATATATCTTTTGCGACTTTGATTGGATAAAATCGTAGAAACAGGTGCTAAAATATTCAGGCAACAGTCATCAAGATGACAATTCCCCGCAAACGGCGCGAATCGTTCAAGCGAAGCGCGCTGCGAAAGCACCATGAGATATACATACCCACGAGCCCCACGACCCAAATGGCCATTGTGAGCCCAACCCTGGCCAAGTTCAAGCCCCCAATGCTCAATTTGACCGAGTCGGGATTGACTCCTTCGCCGTTGCCGGCCACGTCGCGGCCATCAACGCCTCGTCCTCCATCTCCTCGCATGAAACCATTGCGGCCAGCCCAACGAGCGCTTCTCGTCGACTTTCTATATAGGGAGGTCTTTGGGTTCATGGACATCAAGGAGAGCGAAGGCCCACACAACCAGCAACGTGTGGTCGACTTCTTCAAGTCCTTCGTCGAAATGGAAAAGCTGGTATCCATCGTGACCTCGTCCCGCCCATCCCAACGACTTGCGTAGGTGATCTACGGTCTCGTACTTTGTGTCGACAGCTTCCTTTACGTGTTCACGTACTTGCCACTGCGCATCCTCCTCGCACTGGGGTCGGGGGTCGTGTCGGTGTTCTGCACACGAATCTTTCGCCGATCCCACGTCCACGACGTTCTCACAGCAGTCATCATGGTCCTGAGTACCGCCGTCCTCATGCAGGTCGACATGTCTCGGGTGTACCACCTCATTCGGGGGCAAGCGCTGATCAAGCTGTACGTGCTCTTCACCATGCTCGAGGTACGTGCTCGAGCCGCTTCACGGAATCGCACGCCCACACGATGTTGTGTAAGGCAGATCTTCGACAAGCTCTTCAGCTCCCTCGGCCAAGACGTCCTCGATGCCATGTACTTTACCGTGCGGTACCAACCGCGGCGCGTCGGCCGCATGATGTTTGACTTTGCCGTGTGCAGCATCTACGTCGATATCCTTTTTGCGTGTGTATATATTCATGTTTCCGTTGAATTCCGTTCGACCATCGCATCCGTCCTCCTTGACCATGCCTGCACTGCTCCATTCGCTCCTCCTGTTCGGGCAAGTCGTCACAATCAACGTCGCGATCCACTCGAGCAGCTCGTCGCTCATGACGCTCCTCATCTCCAACAATTTTGCCGAGCTCAAGGCATGTCTGCCAATTCCTCGGGCTATAGACTGACGTGGATGGATGCGGTGTTGTAGAGCAGCGTGTTCAAGAAATTTGAAGAGCAAAACCTTTTCCAAGTCGCTTGCAGCGGTACACATCCCCGAAAATTGCGTCCTCGACGGGATCCTGGCTTGACGCGGGTCCTGCGTTGGTAGATATCGTCGAACGGTTCAAGCTCATGCTGATCATCGGGCTCATCCTGGTGCAGTTTGACGGGAAGGACGTCGCCGACGGTACCGTACGTCCGACTGACGTTGCTGGTTGGCGTTGCTGCATGGACCGATCGTAGCTTATGGTGCTGGCGGCCGAAATGCTCATTGACTGGATTAAGCACGCGTTCATTAGCAAGTTCAACCAGATTCCGCCTACAGTCTACTCCAAGTTCCTCACGGTCCTGTGCCGCGATGTATCTGGCTACCGCAGCGACACCGTACGCTTCGCACTCTCCGATCTGTCGTTGGTTGTGTTGAGCGCGGTCGGCCTGGTGACGCAAGTCTTCTAGACCTTTCTCGACCATTCGCAGTTTGTGTCGAGACGTCTCGGGCTCATTTCGCTCCCACTTGCGTGCGTTGTCCTGCGCATGCTATGCAAGGCCTTGCGCGACTTTGACGTGTGGAATCAACTGCACACGCCGTCGGGAGTGGTCATCGCAGTCTTGGGGTTTGCGACGCTCTCCGCATTCAAGGTGCGTCGCCGCGGAGGATGCCATGTTTCAACGGCCGACATGTCGACAGGTGTTGTTGAGTCTGTGGCTCATGGTTCATGCGAGCACGTCCGGTCGGTTGTCGTCGCAGTGGAAGGCGGCGAGTCCAGCCAAGAAGGAAGTACATGCCAAGGAAGACAGCTAGCTAGGTCGACAGCCAACTCGGACCGTCCGTGAGTTGGACAGAGGCGGTGTCGCAGCAAAAAAAAACCACGTGATTGAAACCACTTCTATTGAAGATCGAGCTCCGTGGCGAGTTAAAAGAGCTGCCCCACTTGTCCCATGTGCTGCGCATGGGCCGACGGCAGCACGACCTGCTGGAGGTCGCCAAACGTGGCCTCGTACACGTGGCCATCGAACGCGTACCGAATGTACCTGCAACAACACTGTTACCAAAACGTGATGCACAGGCGACGAGAACAAACAAGTGAGGTTGGGCAGGATGTGAGGCATCGGCAGGGTCGTAGAGACCCAGCATCGGGTTGTAAAAGCCCAACAGGCCAGCCTTGGACGTGCTCGGGAGGTACAGGCGGCCGTTCTGCGTCCAACCAGCACATCAACCAAATCGTACATTTGCAATGGCAAACGTACTTGGAGAAAGAATTGCACGGGAATCGTCACGTCGACGTTGACGTGTTCAAAAGATGACTCGTCGCAATCGTGTGCCGTCTAGAATCGCCATGCGAGTCAACGACATGTGCATCACGTGGATCAGTCGCACCGATGGGTTCTGGCCATACCGGGCCACAAGGACATTGACGCCGCCGTCCAGAGCTGTGTTCTTGGCCGCCTGTTTTCCCATCAGCGTTTGCTGGGACAACGCGCAGCGCCGCGCTTCCATGAGGTACGACACACGTCGGGCATGGGCAGACTGCCGTGCCCTATATCGAATCATCCGATGTAACACGGATCCAGCCAAATCGCGTTGGTAGGAGGCGTACGCTTGCTCTTTGCGCTTGCGGGCGGGTTTCACGACTTGGCCAACGACGGCCGCGACCAAAAACGGCGCCGTCGCGGCGACCAACGTGTTCCATGCGTTGGCAGTGGACAGCGGGGCGACCACGACCGGAACGACGAATCGCACGTTTCCTCGGGCAAACCTGCAACACCCATGATTGGATCCATGCACGACGGTGGCAAGCGCACCCGAGACGAACGGAGATGCCTTGAAGGGCAAAGCGGAGGCCGAGGCTGAGACGGCTCCGACGAGACACCTTGCCAGAGGACCCCATCGTCAGGGCGACGCCGCCAACACCGACATCCATCGACACCTAGAATGGCGACGATCAAAACGAAGCGATCGAGGCGCAATTCGTGCTTTGGCCGACGACGATGGCGTCATTTGTTTGCGGACGCTGAGCCCGACACTCGGCCCTTGGTTGCGGATGGCCACCGTCGCCCGCGATTGGTACGAATCATGGTGGACCATCAAGCTCGACGAGAGCCCGTTGTTGGCGCTCAGCATCATGGAGCCTTGAAGCGGTGCCAGGTGAGGCAGCAACCGCATGACGTGATGGACGCCCACAGTCACGTCCAGCCCGTCCACGGTCGTCTCCGGCATGAGAAAGCACGAGGTGAGGGTCGACACGGGTTGTTCCTGGAGACGACGACATAAGCGCAGGACGCATGCCACAGCAACGTACGAGGTGTACACTCAACTTCGGCGTCCACCCGATTTCACTGTTCAGGTGAATGCGCAGAGCACCGGGGTCGGCCGTGACGTAGTTGATCCCGCACGTGAGCGCGCCGAGGCCGAGGCCATGCTTGTCGTACAAGTACCCCCCGACAACGACGGTCGTGTTGCGGGAAACGTGGATGTTCGTGGATTGCCGCATAACCATTTGAGAGATCCCAATCATGCGATGCTGCTTGTTGAAAAGCTATGGAACGGAGGTCCAAGAGGTTGACGTCGATGGTGCGATGGCATATACCTGCTTCAACGAGTACATAGGATGCTGGACGAAATCCCGGGCGTCAACTTCAACCTCGCAGTCAGTTTGCGACGAAAACGGCGCTTCCAGCTGCTTTTCGTACCAACGCCGCAACAACAAACGAAGCCGTTCTTGGACGTACTCGTCCGGGTGCGCATAGTTGGCGATCGACCAGTCGTCCACTTCCTTGTCTTCTTCCAACGCGACCACGCCTCGCTCGCCGTACTGGTCGTACGCAAGACGAAGTGGCCGGGAACTCAATACCTTGTACGCGCGGTCCAACCGCGGGTACTGCTGATTCGCGTCGTCGCGATGCGCTGTCTTGTCCGGGTGGAACTCACGGCTGAGCACAAAGAACGCGCGGCGAATTTCCTCTGTGCTTGCATCGCGGTGCACGTTCAAGGCCGCGTAGTAGTCCGTGTCCGGGGCCGCGTCGAACCAAATCGGCGGCAAGTCTGCCATGTTGTCGATGCTCTCACTCGAATTGCATCCTCCTACCAGTACTACCTTCTTCCGGATAAATGGAGAATATCCGTATTTTCCCGTTCGCTTGGTCTTGCTGTGTCCGTGCGCCGCCCTCGATCGAGGCATCAGTCGCCGATGACGCGACGAAATGGGACATGTCGAGATGGCAAGGGCACTTCAGATATGATGGTGTTCCCTGGCCTCCACCGACACACATGGAAGCTACCACCACGGTCTGACTGAGAGTCTGTAGTGCACAGTGTATGACTAGTGCATTCAATGAGAGCGCTCGAGTTGAAAGATCGCCCTTGCCATCCTAGCCGCGATGGTAAAGGACCGCAATGATATCCCATGCAGCATTAGCAACCGGGACACAAGAACGTTTGCTCGCGGTTCCTGGTGGCGGGCTGGGCGGATGGCCGTTGGAGGAGTTCTGTCTGGGTCTCTCGGCACTTGACGAGGCAGTGGACGCACACGCGCACCCGGAGCTGCTTGGCGCCGAGGCCGATGGGGACATCTATTTTGGTGTTGCACTTGCGACAGATGACTTCGCCACACATGCGGCAGTGATGCCTCTTGCGCAGGATGAAGTGGAACGCGACGTCGCAAATGGCGCACTTGGAGCGTGCGGTGTTGTGGACCCAGTCGACGGGATTTATAATTTCGAGCTTCTTCAGCCGTTCGTTTTCGCAATGTATCCGCATGTTGGTAAGGCGCTGGATGACGGCGTCAGCCAGGCCGTCCATCTTTGGTTTCCCAGGCATCTTCCAGTCCATGTGCGCCGCGTACGTGACTTCGACGACGCCTCGGGTCGACGTATCCATGACGACGTATACCTCGCTTCGAATGGATGCCCTGGTGCACCTAGCTCGACCATGAACACGCGGCAAAGGACGCGAGGAGCGTAGTACCCAGGAAGCGGCGGACACCCCACTACACGGATCGATTCGACGATGCGGTAACCCATCCACTGCTTCTCGGTGGTGTGGCACACGTCGGTATAGTCGAGAAAGACGACGTCGAATATCTTGGGCTGGACTTGGTCGCTATCGACCATGATGGCGAGCCACTTGAGCCCGCAGTGGTAGTGCGAACTGTCGTGCTTGGCGTCCGAGAGGCATGTGTCGAGCACCTTGGCTGCGACGAACTCGTCCCCAAGGATTGTCTAGACAAAATCCCCACGACGTCAGCGTTGGGGGAGCTTGAGCAGTCGAACCTTTTGACATGCAGCGAACGTGTCGGTGTCGTTGGCGCATAGCAACGCCATGACGTCCTTGACCGTGCCGTTGATGCGTGTGACGGCCCGAATGTCCTGCCATGTGAGCCGCGACTCGAACACGTCGACGCCGTTCTTGGTCTTGACGAAGTCACGCACGACGGCGGGCGACGAAAACTCGAGCGCCGACTGGTGCCGCGACTGAATGTACTTGTAGCACGTGCGCTTTTCCGTCGGACCAAGGGTATGCTGAATTGGCGCCGCTCGCACAGTGGCCGCCGGGGACGGAGAGCCCGTCGACACAGCACTTCGCACGCGCGACAGCATTGCGCCAGTGTCACGGAGCTGACACCTGTCGCCGTGTTGCTTCTACAAAAAATTCCGCAAATCGGGCACCGTATGTCCGGATATGGGGCCGAACCAACTTGGGGTGAAATCGTGCGAACTGTCGTTTGGCTACAGGTCTTTCTCTCGGTGGCGTGGTTGGAGTGGGGCCATGGATCGTGGAGGCCCCAGGCTTGGGAGCGGTCGACCGCCCTTCGTGTGCAACGCCATTGAATTCATTACGGTCAAGATCATCCTGCTTTGCAACGCGTCCTCGCCGCAGCGCCATGCCCAAGAGCACTACAGTCGTCGACGTGCATCGCCAACCACATCGAGTTGGTGGGTGGGTTGTCCAGTGGGGCCCCGCGTTGAAACCGTTCGGATGGCAGCAAGGATGGCACATTCCGAGAACAATCGATCGTTCCCGGAACATGCAATCTCAGCACCTGGCGACTACCTGCGATATCGAATAATAAGTCCATGAAAGCAATAGGTTTATGAGGGCAATGGAACGTTGGCGACCTCACCAACGACACGCTCCGTCGTCGACAGGGACCAAGCAGCATGCACGTGGCATGTGTGGGCATTCCACATCATCGCAGACCAACGGAGACCACCACTGTCGCGTGTAGTTGGGCGGCGTCCCATCCATTCGTGATCGAGAGTCCTGATTTCCGACGTGTCGCTTCGACGCAACCCGGAGCGCGATCGCAATTGGCCCAATTGTACCAAGCCCGTCGTTGGGATCAGCGCGCTGTTGCTTGTTTGCAGGGGATGTGGACAACATGTGGTAGCGGCACAAAGTTAGCCGGCATGCTTCATTGTCCACGGCGGAGTGGTTTGCAAGTGTCGTGGTCGACAACGGCCGAATCGGTTCATGGGGAGGAATTGACGACGTGCTTGTCAGAGTCTTCGAGATGGCGGTTCGTTTGAAGAAGCAAGTGTGCCGAGATGGAGGCCACAGGAGAAAAGACAGGGCCAGGCAACGTGCCGATGCGCGAAGCACCGACGACGTCTGATGCCACGACTGAAACTCCTGGGGCTCCTCCCACACAGATCAAGTCGCTCCTGCGACGTTGTGATGGCCAGAGGTCAGTTCCTTTCCATGGACTTCTCCACCCCCTTGCATCCCCCTGTGCGCCACCGATTGAATGTTACCCACGACTTCGCACATACCAATCGCTCTTGCTAGCCAACGGCACTGCCTTGCGTGGATTTTCATGGACGTCCAACTGCTGTTGACAGTTTGTGGCAAAGGGGGCCACCTGAACAACTAGAGAGCTGTTGGTTTCAAGAAGCAGTTCGATGAACGCAGCGAGACCACACGAACAGATTTCGTGGATGCAACGTAATGCTCAAGGGAACGAACTGCGCGCCGTCGTATTGTTGTAGCCGTCGGCTCAACTGCACGAACGCAGCGGGTTCACTCGTCGAATAGACCCAAGTCGTCCAGCTGCAGATACAGCTGAACAAACTTTTCATGACTTGGGCGGTTGCTCACGACGCTGGGCACGATATCTGGGTTTGGCGTACAGAGCATGATCAATGCTTGCAAACTCTGCCGATGGTCATCCATCTTGAATCGCGCCACCATTTTGCGAACGCCGTCGCGGCCGAGGCCGAGTAGAGTACTTGGAAGCAGTGCAATCTGGAGAAAGCACTCCCATGTTGCATCTGACATGGACTTTTGCACAAGTGGCGGGGCATTTGTGGCCGTGATCGGAGGAGGTTGTTGGTGATCTTGGTCTGGTGTCGGGGGGGATATCACGTCCGTGACGAGGCTTTGTATCGACATGTCGACTGCGCTGGTGCGTCTAGTGTCGATCCCGAGACTTTCCGCTGCCTTGATGTGTTTGTCTGTTTCTTCATGCCGCTCGAACGCTGACGCGTCGTGCTTTCGCTTCCGATGGGGCTTCATAAAGACCTTGTTGCATACCGTGCATCGGATCTCCACGCCCAGGTTGGTCTCTGTTTCTTGAGCCCATTCAAACCTTTTTATATTGTTGTACGATGCCCACGATGGATGCTTCTGACGAAGGCCCAAGTCCGCCGCCGTCGCTTCTCCATCGATTCCATCAACATCCTTGTTGCCCAACGGCATGTTCGCCGAAATCGCGGTATCCGGATATGGCCTTGTCCATCTTCCGGATGGAAACCACCATGGCGGATTCCGGCGCCAACGACCGCGACGTGCTCGACCATCGGCGTCGGAAGAGCTACTACTCCAGCTTCGTGATGGACGCAGGCCGCTCAGATCTTCTACACGACAAGCACACAGACTCCGATGGCTTAACCGGCCTCGGAGGCTTCGTTCAGAACACTACATGGAACCGGATGAGCGCAACATCCATCGACGCAGTCCCAAGAGCGCAGCACAAAGACTGCCAAGAAGTGTCGATGACGATTCGTGTTCAGACAGTTAATGAAAGCGCCGGTGATGGAAAGGCGTGCTGTACTACCGACCCCTTCGACCCAACGGTTTGCCCTGAAATGGTCACTCGTCATCACGACTGGCAGCTACATCTCAATGAACAAATACATTACAATTCCTTGTGGCGCATTGTGGCCACGTCGAAGCCAGGCATGTTGAATTGCGTGGCGAACGTGTTCACGTCGGCGCGCAGTTGTTTGACGCCGGCATGCGATTCCAATGCGGCGTTGAAGTCCGAAATCTTCTTGCCGCTCGTGGCTTGGATTTCCACGCACAATTGGACAGCGCGGTGGAGGAATTCGGCCACACTCACAAAATCGGCTTCCTTGAAACCACGCGAAGTCAAGGCGGGCGTGCCGACGCGAACACCACCGGGCGAGATGGCGCTGCGGTCACCCAAGACCGAGTTCTTGTTGAGCGTGATACAAGCGACATCGCAGAGCTTTTCCATCTTCGAACCGGTGATACCAGCGGGGCGCAAGTCCCACAAGAGCAAGTGGTTGTCGGTGCCACCAGTCGCGAGGACGTACCCCTTGTCCGTCAACGCTTTGGCCAACGCACGGCAATTGGCCTTGACTTGGATGGCGTACTGCTTGAATTCGGGGGTCGCAACTTCCTTCAATTGAGTAGCAATGGCAGCGATTTGGTGCTCATGAGGACCGCCCTGGAGACCAGGGAACACAGCTTGGTTGATCTTGGTTTCAAAGTTGCGCGAGTCCTTGCGGTAGAAGATCATGCCGGCGCGGGGACCGCGAAGCGACTTGTGGGTTGTCGTCGTCACGATGTCGCAGAGCTCGAACGGGCTCTTGTGTTCGCCGGTGGCAACCAACCCAGAGTAGTGCGCCATATCGCACATGAGCAACGAGCCGTTGTCGTCTGCGATCTTGCGGAACGACGTGTAGTCCCAGTCACGGGGGTAGGCACTGCCACCGCATACAATGAGGGCAGGCTTGAAAAGGGCAGCGGATTCGGCCAACTTTTCGAAGTCGATCAATCCAGTTTCGGGGTGCACACGGTAGGGCAAACTTTCAAAGTACACCGACGTGGCCGACACGGCCTTGCGGGTGTTTTCAGCCTTGCTGTACGTGTAGAACCCATGGGTCAAATGGCCACCACTGGGCAAGTCCAAACCCATGATGCGGTCGTGGGGACGAAGCAACGCCGTGTACACAGCAAAGTTGGCGGGAGACCCAGAGTATGGCTGGACGTTCACGCCCCATTCTTGAGGGTTCAAGCCGTATGCCTTCAATGCACGGTCTTGGCAGAGCTGTTCGATTTGGTCAATCACTTCGTTCCCGCCGTAGTAGCGTTGGTTTACGTAGCCTTCGGCGTACTTGTTGGTCAAGCACGATCCCAAGCAGTCCATGACGGCACGCGACGTGAAGTTTTCGGACGCAATCAGCTCCAAGCACTTCCACTGGCGGTTCTTTTCATGTTCAATCAGGTTGAACAGCTCAGGGTCGTGGTGTTCCAAGGGAGTGTTGCCGGCAGGGAAGCTCATGTTGTTCGATTGACGCAGATGGGATAATGAGACCAATGGCCACGAAATAGCCAAACGTCCCCATGGAAGTTGCCGGCCATTCTTTCTCCCTCCAAATGAAATATATTGAAATCTGGGTAGAGTCATTTGATTTGAATAAGTCATAAAAAATCTTCCCAATAAATATCCATCGCTCGTACTATTTAACTAAGCTCCCCTATTCCAACATGACACACTGCGAGGACGAAGACTTCCCCGATGCGTTGGCAGCAGGACATGTCCATTTCACTTGGGAACTCCCTAATGTGCGCGGGCCATCCCCGAGTGCTGACAGCCCCCCGTGTATGCACCGCCCCTTCGCGCGTGAGCCAGTCATTCGATCGCCAGTCACTACCATCATTCGACCCGCGACATTGGAAATGCGTTTAATTGCGGGCCGCCACCTCTTCCGCTCCACGAACATCGCGGATGGCTAGAAATTCGGCATTTTAGCCAATCAAATCCACCCGAGGCGCCACCCTTCTCATGGCACAATGGCCACAGCCACCTCTAGGGCCCCGGAGCGCGCCAGAGTTTTGTGACAGATGGGAATACAAGCGACAAAATTTCGATATTTCAAAAGGATTTTATTGTATATTTGTATACACAAGTCTACAATGGACATTTGCTTTATTTAAATCAGATTAAATTGTGTATTTGTTGTAATATTTGGATGCATCTTCTGCCGATGTGCACGAGCGATCCGATCGAGTTTGCGATTTCGATGGAAGGGGGGCGAAGTCGCCGCCCAGTGTCGCGGCGTTTAAAAGTACAAATCGTCTAGCTGGTTGTGTGCTGTGCATGGGCCCGACAGGTAGGTCAATTGGCCATCGACAAAACAGCGCCACAGTGAGTTGACAACACGATGGTTTGGTAGAGCCTCATGTAACGTCGATACGGTGTCCACAATGCAACAAGTCCACGGCCGGATAGTGCAGCGCTGCCAAGGAAGCTACATCGGGTGTACGTCACGATGTGGCTACAATTCGATGGCACATTGGTTGGTGGTAGCCGAGTGATGGCGATTTACATATCGAGAAGTGTGCGAGGACTTGAAGCTGTCGTCACGACCACTCAAAGTCGTCCAGTCCTCAGAATGGCATCGTCCCAAGCTGGCCCTTTCAAAAAATAACCCCATAAAAGTATATCTTTTTGACGTGGGATAAATA